CCCCCCCCCCCCCCCCCTTGTCATATTAAATGAACTTTCCCTTAAACCGTTTGGATCAAAATAACGTAGATAATGGCAAATAACTATGCTGAAATCTAAGAACTGTATATTAAAAATGACATTGCTGCTCACACATATAGCAGAATTTTCAACCGGTATGTCTCTAATTAAACCGTTTGGATCAAAATAAACAAGCGTCAAAAATTTCCCCAATTCTCTGTCTTTCCGTTTTGTTAGTTTTTCCCTTTTATTTCATTATTTTAGTGCCCCGCGACAAAATTAATCAGTTCTCCAACAGGGAACTCACGATAAAACTCTTTTTTCCTCTTTAGCTTTTTTCAGTCTTTTTCCGTCATCAGAGTTTGGTCACAAGATACGCAGCGCTCTTTTAAATTTGGTTTATGATTATCGTATTTATTCGATTAAACGCCGCCCTCGAATAAACGCCGCACCTAATCAGAAGAATGCAGCGTTTACTCGAGGATAATAAGAAAAACCTCGCTACAACTTGGTAATTTACAACATCCAGACCTTTCTTTAAATTACATAATATTTACAAACGATTTACAAATTGCTGTTGTCAGTGATTTAAGAAAAGTGATTTCGAAATAAACGCCGCCCTTGAATAAACGCCGCATAGGAAACGCTAAAAATTTAATAAACGCCGCGGCGTTTAATCAAATAAATACGGTGGATGCAACTTGAAGCCTTCATATCTTCTGCGAGTCCCTGGCGGTGAGGTGCGAACAGAGACAGCTGTATTCGAAGGGTATGCAACTTGAGAAAACGGTTGAAATTCAGGCTAGTTTATGGTACCTTTCGGCCGATCTGACCTTATTTTTTTTCAATTTTCTTTTTGGAGTGTACGGTGTACTTCCCATCTTTGTTTTTTGAGTATACTGAAGAGAGTATTGGTAGCTTTGGACTATACCGGTACATGGCTGCTTACCATTAACCCACTCTGCCACTCCACCCACCCTCCGGGCCCCTAGCCGTCCCTACTGAAAATACTTGAGTTAACACCATCCGCGCCAAAATTTGCAAGAGTGGCAATATACAATTATTAAGGTATTATTGCCCTTTTCATTAATTGTAAATGTTTATTGCGGTACAGTTTTTTGAAGATTACGTCAATGAAAATTCTCTCAAGATTTTACAATAGAGAAAACAAAGATTTCAGCCCGTCTGGACTCGAAATCACCGCTCTCTTAACTCGCCAAGGCAAGTTTCCGTTTTTATAAATAGTCAATCCCATTTTTAAAACACTTGGATTATTTTTGAACTGTTATTGAAAGTCTTCATTACAAAAGAAGTTCACGACCCAGAATCGGACCCGAGCTCTTTAGTACGCATGCTAATCTTTCTCCTAGTACGACACTACCACGCAAGATTCACAACATTTTCGTAGTCTTTTGGTAGAAATGAGGTCCTTTTAGGGTTAAATTCCGACAGGGGACACGGCGTTGAAACAGCTGTATAAGACAGATGAAAGAAAAGTGGTGGGGGGGGGGATACAGGAGAGATGTTTTCCCGCTTTCGCGCTTTTCTCCCTTCCCCCTCCCCCTTATCGCCCGCCACGCAGGCTAGATGAAAGATAGGTTCAAACTTAAAACGGCGACAGTGACGAAGACAAACGCAAATACAATATTAGTAAAAACACCGACAGGGCCTGATATAGCGTTCTCCTCAATACGTGAAACTGAACGGGTTGTGCAATTCAAACAAGCGGACACACGCACGCCTCCATCCGATCCCACCCATCAAAAATGCCTTTTGCTAGTGCCGAATGGGGTTGAAATTTTCAATGATGGCGGTACGGTTCTCAAACCTCCAGCAAAATTATTTATATACTTCAGTTTTTATTTAGATTGTTTTTTTTTTCTTAGAGCAAGCTTTTTCTGTGATTGTTGCACAAAAAATAGTGCGAAAGGTTGTTTTTTTTTATCGCTGATAGGAAATTCCATCTCCTTATTAAATATCTCTTAGAAGTTTCAAAAAGGCCATAATCGCATACTGAGTCCATTTGTTTGTCATCCGCGGTGGCTTTTTTCTCCTCCACAGCAAGAACTAAAGTGATTTGCAATTCATGAGAGTCTGGCTACAGCATGTGAATATATTTTTTCCAAGTATATATGCAAATATATACTGTAAAGCCCTTTGACGCCTGGCTGTATAAAAGTGACATGTGCTCCATCTGACATTACCACAAGCGGATCTTAGCCTATATGACGGCTTAGTTCGCTCAGTTGAACGTTTCTTAATATGATTTAACCAGACGGGAGATAGCCAAAACGGCAGAAAGCCTTATCTGAGCGCCTTGTGACAAATTCCCGTCAACTTATTGCGGATACACAAGAAACCTCAGAAGAAAACAAAATTTCGGTTTCAGGTAATGTTAATATATTTCTCTTCCTAGCTTAAATCGTCACTTTTAAAATCAGTTTCTGTACCTTGTTAAATATTTTCATTCCCTCCAACTGCGGATATTTTTAACAGCTATAAGCTATAAGCTGTGAGTTCGTTCGCTTTCAACGCAAATTTTGCTTTTAGTAGCTTTGTTTGCCTGTTTCAACGAACAAACGATTCCATCAACCGAGAAAAAAATCAAACATTTTTTTACGTTTTAGAGTTTTTTTGTATACGGAATATTTTATGCCTTCGATTATAGCAAAAGCTCTTTTTTCCTGAATGAATAAAACTGGGCCATAGAAAATTATCGCACTTTACTCCCAAATTTCCGTTTCAACGAAAATGAAAACAGATGAAAGTTTGCCAATGTAATGCGTGAAATTGAAACTTTTATAAAACCAACCCAGTAGTGTATCGCTGAGCAGAAAAAAATAAAGGAAAAAAATTATAAATTTCTTATTTTTATTTATGCCTGTTTGCAATTTCAGCTTGACCGATTTTCGTAGCGATCCTCCGTGTTCAGACATGTTTTGTTTACGATTGAACCGGCTGTTTCCTCCACGTATGGCGCGGCAATTTAAAAGGATACAAATAAACTTTTTTGGAAATCCTGATTCTTCAGGTTACTATTTCTTCGTTCAGAGAAAAAAAGCAGCGTGTCTTGTAAAGCCAAGTTTCAATTTGGCTTATATTCTTTTAACTCCAAGGGAGTTAAATATATTCCTGTCTTCATTATTTCACAAATTATGTTTTATTTATATTGATTAACGATATTTGTATGTTTTGGTGAAGTATTTACGCGAAATCTACGAGAGTTTTTCAACGTCAGTGGCGGAGCTCTCTGTTCTTTAGACCACTACAAAGATCCCGAAATTTCAATCTTAGAAAATTGTCTGGAAAGGAAAGTAAGAAAACTAAAATCATAATAGACCACCAGCAAATTTTTAAATTCCTATACCTGTGATTTTCACCTCACGTTCTTTGTAAAGCAAGTTTGGTTGGCATTTAAATACGAGAGTATTTTCGAATGCAAATTGAAGGTTGCAAGCTTTAATAAAGTCTTCTGTTAAGACCTCGGAACGTGACGTAAAATTAATGCGGAATTTTTCAAAGTCGCCTGTAAAAAAAAACTTAAAAGGCAAAAAATATATATATTTAACAAAATGAACTCCAGATTTTTAATCATTTCTAACTGGACGGGGCAACTTGTAGCAAAAAAGAGACATCATGGAAATAAAACTTTATCTTTTGTGCTTAAAAAAATGCTGAATTATTGGTTCAGCTGCAGAGAGAAATGTGTTACAACTCAGCCGCTTATAAAAATAATTATGAAATTGGCAGAAGGACAAACAACTGTGTCAGAAGGTTTGGTAGACGGATGCAAATTTTTTGTCCGGTACGTGCTATCAAGGGTGAAATTGTGAATATGGCCACCAGAAGACTAAATTAAGAGCAGAAACATCCAGCATGAATTAAAAAGTGAATACACATAATTCCGTTAAATATCATGTAGCATGAAATATGAGAGGCATATACCTGGCTTCAAACAAAACGAATTTTTGTTTGATTTGTCACTATATTAAAAATAATAATAATAATAATAATAATAATAATAATAATGATAATAATAATAATTTATTCGGACACTTCTTGCGAAAAAGCGTTGGAACCTGGTTATTATTTAGATAACGCTTCAAACGCTCGTTTTATGTGCATGTGAAGTGTTACGTCTCCCCCCCCAACCCGTGGGGGGGGGGGAGTGAGAGTCTCTCTCCCCAGCCCCCCTCCCCCCCGCGGGTTAGGGGGTGGAGGCGTACGACATTTCAGACTAGTTTTATTTATCTTTTCAATAATCACTATGCTCAGCTTATATGGGAAAAGGAAAAATCGTGAAACGCCGCTCTTCAGTAACGCATGCGCACGCACGCTTGCCATCCTTTATCTACCCATAACCCTTTGCCGGTTGTTACTTCTGCATTTGCGTGTATACTAAGGCATTATGGGCCTATTTTCAAGTTACGGAAACTGGCCTATGACCTTGCATTTATTCACATGCTTTAACCACGACATTTCACTCGGATGAAACCGCAAATCGCCAGACCTCCTAGTCTCCTCGAATAAGGACGAAAAAGCTTTCTTAGCTTACTTTCTCTTGGGAAAGATTAACTGTGTCATATTCTTTATTTTTATTTTTTCAGACCCAGACAATTTCATTGAAGGGAACATTGACTTTATAATAGCTTTTGTTTGGAACTTGGTGCTGTATTATCTTATAATTCCCCTGCAAATCATGTTTGGAAAAACGCAGACTTCGGCCAGAGACTTCGTCCTATCTTGGGTTCGTGAAAAGCTTCCAGACCGAAATGTAACAAACTTTGATAAAGACTGGAAGGACGGGGTGTTGATATGTGAATTAGTGAACGCGACTCAGCCTGGTTTAATTCCTCTAAAACTTTATGCTGACAAATCTAATGGCGAAGGAAACGCAAAGCTAGGGATGCAGATTGCGCATGACGCGTTCGGAATACCGCAGGTCATTTCCCCGTTTGACTTGGCGTCTGGACAACTCGACGAACTCAGTCTTTTAACTTATTTAGCGCTATTTTGCAAGTACGAGAGCCTGCACAAAGGCACTGGGAACGGAAAAAGTCAGAGTGCACGGCGAGCGACCTCGGATCAAGACATTGCATGTAAGGCTTATGGCGCAGGGCTGAGATCGAGTGAACTCGGAAAAGTTGCTGAGTTTGTAGTGGAGTTAAACGGTGCGAAACCCACTGATATAACCACTGCAATCGAATGTAAGCCACTTCGAGGAGCTGTACATGACGATAAACCTGATCTTAGCGTAAAACCCGTTAACAAGAATACTTACTGTGTGAAATACTTGCCTACCAGACCTGGAGATTACGTCATCAGTATTCTACACTGTGGGGCGCACATACTCAGAAGTCCGTTTTATCTCACAGTTCCTGCGCCAAATGGTGTACACACTCCAAAGGCGCCCTCGAAGTTTCACGCACAAGACCTTTTGGATGGGACCTCATCTAATGGGCTTAAAATGTCTCCAAATGGTAGTCATTCAGGAGCGTCTAGCCCATCTACAAGCCAGACAAGCTCCCCATATCAATCTTCAGATGAAGAAATGAAAAACCACCCACTCAATCCTCCCTCCTTGAACAGTTCATCTTCACCGCCCAAAATTCCGGTGAACACCGCAGATGGACCGGGCTTGATTGCAGGCGAGGTTGGACGTGTTGGTAAATTTTCTGTTACCACTGACAACTCTACAAAAGGCCCCTTGAGCGTCTGCATTAGCTGTCCAGCCGTTTCAATCCCTGTTCCTTACGTCAAAAGCGTCAAGAAAGACGGTTTCACCGATCACACTGTGCTGTACATTCCCACGGAACCTGGAGCTTACGAAGTGTTTATCAAATGGGGTGACCTGCCAATCAATGGGAGCCCCTTTAAAGTTTACATCAACAACGTGTCAGAAGATAGCCTCGTCAACGGGATCACCCGAGGGAAAGAAGACCTGGGCGGGCGAGGAAGAATTCGGGTGTACTACGCAGCAACGTCCACGAATCTGAAGGTTCGCAAGGACAACGAACTGCTAGGAAAATTCTTAAAAGAGAAAGAGATCTCTAGCCGTCCTGACTTTGATCCATGGATTGCTCTTGATGTTGGAATGAGCAAGGTGGAGAGGGACAAAGTCTTTTCCAAGGCTGGGACCAGGAAAACGCCCATGATGTTTGCTAATGATGTGTTTATAGGAAGCTACGAGGACGTCTTCATCATGGATAAACAGGGATTGTTTGAAAAGTACTTGAAGTAACGCTGGCCAGTAAATTACGTGACTATTAAGAGAGCCTGCTATACTAGTACTTTTAGCAGTGAGTCAGTTCAACAGTGGCAACAACCTGAGGTTAGTCAGTAACTAGAGACCGTCAGTTTCTAGGACGAGAACGACTACGAGTGCAAGATTTGACTTCATGTTTTTTTCGCGTAATCTCAAATATAAGACACCCCGGAAAGCTTCCTTGTACTTATTTTCATTCACACAAAAAAAGTTAGCACTGTTACCTTTATTGAAGAAGGTTAAGCCATCATTCGGCAGCAAAATGATAAAACCTCAAACGCAAGAAAACTTGTTACCGCCACCACGACATCCTCTCTAAACTCGTAGTAGAAAGACCACGGGAGCGATCCATTCAACCTAAATTTCCGGAAATTTCAGTCCAAAACTCAATGGATCGGTTCGGTCCAACCGGAAAAGTTTCGAAAAAGCTGGTCCACCTTTTGAGGTGAACCACTTTTCCCGGTCGGACCGGTGTGAATTTTGGTTGAATGGATCGCGTCCCACGGCTACAACGTTTTCCCGCCAAAATGACGCTAGTTCACGCACCACCTAGTATTGAGAAAATCTCGTACTCGTAGTCGTACTCGTGTTAGAATCCAAAGGTCTCTATTGGTAACCCAGTTTTATAAAACAGGGCAATTATTATGAAAAGGCAAGAGCCCATTACTGAAAGAGGTGACCGGTAATGACACTCTTGAGGAGATATTCATTACGAATAATGCAAGAATATACCGCTGATGACTGTGATAATAATAAAGTTTACTAAATATTTTAGTGTTCCACTAAGGAGAACGCATCATGCTAATGCAGGAATAGTCGAGAAGATTTGCTTTGAATCCTTATCTATATAATCCAGGGCTTTGCTCTAGCAGAGCCCGGTGGCCCCTGGCGCCTAACTTTTGCCCCCAGGCGACTAGAAAATCTCAGATTTTTCATACAAATCATACGCTGGGCACCCTAGATTTTACAGTTACAGAGCACTGGGCTCCCTTCAATTTTCCTTAGAGCACAGCCTTGTTATCGCATTGTTTTGGCACGTTGATGCATTTCGGTCCTTGCAATGCTTTCGCGCGTCGAATGCGCTTTTATTAGATAGTCTTAGTTGGTTCTCTTTCAGAGAGATGATTTAACTTAGAAGGTATCCAGCCTACACACAGCCGATACGCTGTGTTTTCAATGGCCCAATTGACCAGCATGGTAGAACTGAAAAAAAATATATGATGATATTGTGCAAAGCGAAATATAATGTAACGTCCGTACCTTTTTGGGAAACAGAGTAGCATGGGATAGCATGCTTTGACTAAGAGGTAGAATGTGTCAGAGATATTTTGGCTCCGATGAAGTGCAACCAGTTGCATATACGCTTCTGGTGTAACCTATAGACGTCTATTGTAGCTTATTGTCTATTTGACCTTTACTACCACCAACAATTTATGTGGTACGAAAAGTAAGAATTTAAGCCAAAAATTGCAAGGAACTATGACAACAGAACCATCGATTTAAATAAGTTATTTGGTGTTCAATAATCTAGAAAATACCAGAACCACGTATCAGATGATTACAGGAAAGGTTTCCGATTATGGTGCGTCACTTAGGTTTGCCATGCTGCCTAAGTTGAAGGTCATACAAAGTAACATAACTAAGTCAATTAGTTAGTTTAAATCATTTATTTCAGTCTTGAAAGTAACTTCTAGATAATACTTGAATATTATTTATTATAGTACGATTTATGTACGTTTTGAATGTGGTACCGCATTTTGTTTTTCATACTGATCGACCGGTAAAAAAGAGCACATTCAATGATCTTGCCTCATTTCAGTTTGTTCTGAAAACATGCAATTGCGACAACTATTTAAATATACAATACGTTCCATGATTAGTAGTTTATTTGATTCAGTAAGACTGAAGTTAAAAAGCCAAAATAAATAGATGAATCTTACGAAAAATATTTAGAACTTCAAATATATACGGTAATATATTTAAAGAGTATCTGTATGTGGGATACTGCGCTGTAACGAAATTGTTTTAGGCTTATAGAGAGTTGTTAATAAAAAATGAAGTGAAAAAATATAGACAATATTTATTAAAGTAAATAAATTATTTCAGTATGTTACAGTCAAGCATTGATGTTGCTAAGATTAAACTTTTATCAAAGAAAAAAAAGTGTCTGATATTTATTCTTTATAAGGAAGTGTTGCAACATTATTGATTAACAGTGTTAACTGTTACGTTAGATTCACAGCTTGCGATTAAAGACTAAAACATTTAACAATTATTGATTGAGGCTGAGTATGATGGGGAATTATGTAGATATTGGAGGCTGTTACATTTTCGATCTGCGTAATTCTTCATATCGATATACTCGACCTTACTCAGTAATTGTTAATTTTCAAATTAAAAAGCCTTAATTTGCACAAGAAAGCAATACCTCGAAGGATTTCGGTCGTAGTGTTAAAAATGACGTCGTCATACAAATTGGACTATTAGGACTCACTATTTTTAAATCCCCCAAAATTCACTTTGTTTGCCTTAAAATGAAAGTTATCATAAACTGTTGTTTTCAAATGCTCCTGAGCGAACTGCATATTCTCAAGCGCATTTCAAAACAATAGGTTTTGCAAAATTTAGGAGGGAAGCGGGAGGGGGGGGGGGGGGGG